CTCTCTCTCTCTCTCTCTCTCTCTCTCTATACCATCTGATTTTTTGGCTGAATTAATTTTTTTTCTGTAACATCTTCAAGTTGTACAGTATTAAATCATTAGGATGAAGAGGATGAGTTTCGATGCAATACAAGAAGAATAAGTTAAGAAATTGAATTATTTTAGGATTTGTTTTAGTTTTTATTTGTTTAATTAGTAGCATTATTTTTATTAGATGGTAAAATTATCATGAGTTACTTGGATTCGAATTCAAATTTATTTGAATTTATTTTTTAACTGTTTTTTTCTGTAATTATTGCTTGTAATGTGGATATTATTAAATAATGAATTATAATGGAAAAGATTATGTTAATTTTCTCTTTTATCTTCTCTTGTTTCCTTCATACTTCAATTCTCTCTTTTTTACCTTGATTTGTTGCCCTTCTTGTCTCACTCTTGGTATTTCTCTCCCTTCTAATGCTATTATGTTGCCCGCACACTATAATGCTACAGTTACACTAACCATTTCCCACTTAATTTCTCTTTTAAACTTTTCTTTAATTCCTATGCATCTAAGAGAGAAATCAAACCTAATTCAAGTGAAGGAAGAAGAAGACCGAGAAGAAATTTATTATCAAAGAATCTATTGTGAAATTGACATCAAATAGTTCTTCTTATGTCCATGTAAATTTATTTAATCTATTTCCATGACATTAGTAAATGCAAAAGGAATTTGGTGTGTATAGATGCTTAGATTATGCATGCAAGTTATCATCAACATAAGAATTTTCTTGTATAGTTTTTTTTTTTTTCTTCTCACTTTCGAAGTGTTGTTATGAATTTATAAATATGTTTCATCAAAGCTTATAGGCATCTAAGTGTGCTACATTATCATGGATGTGACTTAGATATTGGTGGTTTATAGATTCACGGGCTTATAAATTTTAGACATCATTTATTACACTAATTGATAACTATAGGATAATCTCTTTTGATTAAAAGTACTAAATAAAATTGTATTGAAATCATATTATTTTTGAAATATGCAAAAATCTCATTCATATAATCACTGTTTAAAATTGTGCAATAAGTGGTGCCTCTCAGTGTTTTTTTTTTTTTTGGCAAACCGCAATGAGGCGTAAGTCTTAATTCACCTCACCACAACCGCGCCTCGTCTCTTGCACAATGAGGCACTCCCTTTTTTTAGAACTAAATCTTAAACATATTTGTGCCTCATGATACTCCAACCCACACACAATCATGCTCAGTCTGCTCTCCCCATTGAAGGGACTTTTCGTACCCCTCTTGAACTGTCACCTTCTCCTGCTTATCTAACTGCTTCATTGGCCTCCTCTAACACCATCATTGGTCTTCATAGCAATCACCGTTTAGTTATTTGCAGCATTTGATGTCATCATTTCTTGCACTTGCTATCTCCATCCCTACTAGCAGTCATCATCATTGTTCTTGCAATTGCCGTAATTGTCCCTCCTTGTAGCCCTAGCCACTCTTCCTTCATTCAGTAGCTATTGTTGCGCCCCTTTCACTTCCTCACTCTGCTAGCCCTCCTTGCGGTTATAGTTTTTGTCTTCGTCTCTATCGCATGTTATAATTTTTTCTATTTGTTCAGTGACAATCACATAACCTTAATATTTCATAAATTTAATTGATTTATTTCTTTTTTTTAATCTTATAAAATTTTCATTTTACGTTTTTAGGGAAAAATGATTAGAGGCAAAGATAAATTCACTAGTCATAGAAAGGATCTGGCATAGATATAGTTTACAAGTCGACATTGGAGGCAACGATAAGAGATGCTTATTTGGAATGCAACTAATGTGAGAAGATAGTTTAGTGGGGATGAAGGAACACCTCTCAATCTCGCACAAGAATTTTGCACCCAATGCTAAAGTGATCGAAAATTGATTAATATTTTGATAAATAATACATGACACTTTTTTAAAATCTGTAGAAACATCAGATGAGGTGAATGATGTAGAGTATATTTTTGGACATCTTGATAGAATAATAGAGGAGATTACAGTGCATTTAATGATTTAGATTATGATAAATATTATTAGTGTTTATAGGGCAGCTGAGAATAAGTTAATAGAGAAGATAAAATATCTATATTTGTCACCTTGTGCTTCACAATTCATAGACTTGATATTAAAAAGGTTTGGTGACTTGCCCAAACATAAAAATGTTCTTACCAAAATTAAAAAATTAATAAATTTATTTATAACGTTCTTTGATAATATTTTTAATGAGGAAGTTTTTAAAGAAATATTTTTTACATTTTGCTACAAAAAAAATTTTTATAGCATATTTGACTCTAGAGAGCATGTTGGAAGCTAGGTAACCATATGAGGCAATATTTATTTTCATTCAATGTTTAACTGTGCCTGGGTTAAGAAAATTGAGGGAAAGAAAGTAAAATAAAAAAATAAATAAATAATTTTTGGTCTAGTTTGACATATGCAAGACTAACCACGAAACCATTAATTTAAGATTTTGAGAATGATGAGTGCTGTGAAAAGTCAACTATGTTCTTTAGTTACAATGCAATGAATGATTATAATGAGTTTATAACCCATAACTCAGGATGAGAAGATGCCAGTTATGAGGAAATTTGGAATATCATTGATGAGAAATGAGAGTTTCAGTTTACCACTATTTGCATGCTATTGGATATTTTCTTTGTTCATCAATTTCAATATGTTGAGAACATGTTTTTTAATTTTTCATTGATTACTATTGACTTAAGGAAGAGGGAGATGATTGAGATTGAAGAAGATGAGAAATAATAGGAGAAATCGAATTTAACTGAAGAAGAGGCAATTGAAAAAAATTATTCATAATGATGATGATGATGATTCCAATAAATATCTCACGAGTGATGAAAATATTGATGGCTTTTGATTAATTATTATATTTTTATTTGAATTTATGAATATTATTGTGCTTGACAGTAGAAGTGAAAGAAATTTATTATGTTAAATTTATCTCATGCCTTGTGCTGTTTTGGTATTTTTTGTTACTTTCATTTGATGTCATATGTGTGATCAATTTTTGTCTACATTACACTTTTATTTTGGTTTGTGTTATTTCATAAATGATATTTTGTGGTTGATGCAATTTATTTTTTGATTTAAGCACAATTTGTCACTTCTTATCATGTTAGGACGTCAATGTCTTTTTTAATATTTTTATAAATTATAATGCAAATATATTCATTTTTATTTTTAGTTTCGCTTTACACAATTTTTTTATGTACGAGGCTTATGTCGTCTCACGAATAAAAAATTGTCTGAATACTCAAATTGTCTCAATAGGACACAATGGAGAAAAAGGTTTCATGTAGCCGACCCGAGTTAGTGGGATAAACGCTTGTTGTTGTTGTAGTACTCAAACTGTGCATTTTCTTTTGCATATCATAAATCACCTTTGCGACACATTATTGTGAATGCATCTGATTGCCATTAATATTTCATAGAATGTTCTAACTCTTTATGAATAATATGAGTATCATTAATTTTGATCCTTTTTGATAATTTTGAATGTGATTTTATTATCCATTTCACTTCAAAACAATGTTATCGTGATGGTAGAGTATGCTATACACCAAGTTCTCAAACTGGGAAGTTTTGGATCCTATATAATAAGCTCCTGAAGTTCAGGCGTTTGAGCTACTTTTACCATTTCAAAAATGTGATTTTATTACTAAGTTTATAGAGATATTATTATAGTGATCTTTATAAACTAGATAATGATAATTAATCACCACTAATCAAGTTTCTTGCTAAACCAAAATTATAAGTTGTTCTTGAGATTATTCTTGAACCTAAATATAAGATTTTTTCTAAGCTTATTAATTGTTTTGAGACAAAGATGAATTCTATTTTGTCATTGTTTTGATGAAAAAAATAGGCTGATTAAAAAATTTCTTGGAAGGTTCTTTTTTAGATACACAAGTTATTCCTCAAGTTGCAATATTATTGTATGCTTCTCATCATAAATGCAAATTGAGTTCCGGTTACCACTTTTGAGAAAGATGTATGATGCTGTATTAAAGTATCTAAATACCACTAATGTTCATACCTTAACTTCTTTATGATGCAAAACAAACTCTGAATAAGAAAATGACTTTTGCATGACTCTTTAATGAAAAAGCTCTATTGGGTTCAACTGATTTGATGCATTACAAGACAAATATTCAGAAATTTAGATCATTTAGGGTCTAATTTAGTTTTAATTTGCTTAATTATTAGGATTATCTTTATTAGACGAAAAGATTATTAGGAGTTATTTAATTTGGGTTTATATTTGAATCAAATTGTGTGTGGTCTTTCCTTGTATTCCTATTTCTATAAATAAGGTTTGATGGCTTATAATTGGATATTACTGAATGATGTATCGCATTGACAAGATTCTGTCCCTAGATCTGCCTTCTATTTCTGATGATTTCTTTCATTTGCTGGTTCTCGTTCTCTTTTTTTTCTCTGCAGGTTTCCTCTCCTCTTGATTTTGTTCCTTCTCTTCTTTAGCTTTTTATCTCTTCCCAATTTTTTACATTTTTTATGAACTGTTGTACTTGTGCTACATTAACTACTTATGCGCCATCATTATGCTCTTGAGAAGGAAGAAATCAAAATTATTTCTTGAGGTACATCAAGAAGAAGTGCAATTTTAGCGGCTCATCATCAAGAGTTGGATGCAACTCTTTTCAAGTATTTTATTTTTTTTTTGTTGCAACTTTTAACTATTTAAATTTTTTAAGGGGTAATCCCACATTTTGGAAGTTAGAACATTAAGATGGATTTGGCAAATTTTGGAAGGAAAAACAAAGGTTTTGGTTATAAAAATATTTGGTTATGACTGTTGTACTAAATTATGATTTTTCTGTATCTATTCTTCTTTTTATTGCATTATAAACAGCTATGTGGCAGTGACTATTGTTTTACAATTTGCTGTTGATCTGCCTATCTGATATTTTACTGTTGAAATGGCATCTTGTTCAGCGCCGAGGATGAGAAGGAAGTTATTCTAAGCATCAAAGAATTAAGCACACCAAGTTTCTATCCTTCAATGGTTTCGCTTTGGGTCTGCGACTCTTTTGAAAGGAAAAACTTGGAGCGAAATCTGTTGGCACAACTTCTTGTGAACCTAAGCAAAGGTCATGACAGTTTGATTACGCGAGCTCAATTGGTTGAAGGGTATGTTTATATATATATTCAATTTTCAATGTGATCCACAAATATGTCAAATTTCTCTCACAATAATCTCAATTTTCACTTTTGTCTATATATATATATATATATATATATATATATATTTTCAGGTTTGAATCAGTTCTGTCAACCTTGGAGGAGGCTGTGACTGATGCTCCAAGAGCTGCCGAATTTCTTGGCAGTTTTTTTGGAAAAATTGTTGTGGAGAATCTCGTTCCCTTGTGGGAGATCGCGAAATTGATCAGTGAAGGCGGTGAGCAACCCGGAGCCCTCGTGGATGCCGGCCTCGGGTCGGAGATTCTCGGTAATTTGTTGGAGTTTGTAAAAACAGAAAAAGGCGAGACCTTTGTGAACGAGATTCGATTGAACTCCAATCTGCGGCTGGAGGACTTCAGACCGGCGCACGCCTCTGCAAAAACGGTGAAGCTGGATGCATTTCTGGAAAGGTGAAGACTTTTTGTGCCTGCTAATACATTCTTCTCTTGGTTCCCTAGGTTACACCATCCATATCATTTTCTTTGCCTTTAGGTATCTTACAGATTATCAGTTTTTACTGACCCCATGTGTTCATTTCTTGTTCTATCCATTGAACGGCTTATTTATTACCTGTAGAATCCGGAGTTATTATAGTAATGGAACATGGCAGGTTTTCTTAGCTGCAGCTTTTATCCCTTCCGAAACAGCTGATTAGAAGGGTTTTAGCATTCTTCTGTGGCTGATCACATATAGATGATAAGGTTGTGTGGGTTTTGCACATGTTAATCTGGGCTGGTACATGCAATTTGTGTATTCTGTTGGGTTTAATAATTTTCGCATTTGCATGCATACCACTCAATTCTGATGTATTTACATATTAAATACCTAAATATTCATATTTACATAGCACTGGAATCTTTTATATCACATCAAAAACCCAGAAGTTTTTTTTTTTTTTTTTTTTTTTTTTTTTTTTTTTTTTTTTAAGGTGAAACAAACCTTTTGCATAGGTTTATGACACCCAAGTGTTATAAATGTAAATATATGAGTATTGTGTGCTGTGTATGTAAATTATCCTTCATAGTTTGAGCTATCGTTCCTCGGAAGCTGTAAATGTCTATTATTGTTTGTGTAATTCTTATTGTCATTGCTGTTTTAAAGGAAGCTTCTGGGTTGATTTCTGGAATCATCTCGCCAGATTTGCCTGTCCTGTGAGGTATTGAAGTTGTAAGGGTTCGTGGCAGTGCTCATGTAGTTGGAGAAATTATTAGGCTCGAACAAAATATTAAATATAGGAAGATATACATTGCATGAAACTCATCTTATGTATTTGTGCAGCTAATAATTAATTTTTATTTTTTAAGTGCACAATTCCTCACCCATGCATGGAAATGTGCATTTCCCTTTTTAAATCTTTAAATTAAACTTAAAATGGTGATATTTTTGATGTGCTATGAAAGATTTGGTCCTGGTTCAAATCTCACATTTTACATTCATTTTTTTCAATCAAATTTTTTCAAACCAATTTCGAGCCGAACACGAATATTTAAATCGAGCCGAATACGAACACTGTTCATGAGCCGATTTTGAACATGAGCTATTTTGAACGAGTTGAACACGAGTCAAGCCTGAGCTCACTCAAGCTCAGCTCGTTTGCAGCCCTAACTATCCCAAACATATCAAATTCACCAGCTTCCCCAATTTTTTTCGAGATATTAAAACCCGATATTTCTCATAACAATATCATGATCATATAATGAAATGTTAAAATTATCAACATTATTCATTATCATAAACAAAAACATATGATAATATATTAACATTTATAATAAAAAATATATAATAGTAATAATTATTATTATACCACAATCAAAGTTATTAAGAACGCTTTTTTTATTTTTATTATTTTTCTCTTCTATTGCCTATTTAAATTCTTTTAATCAACATATTATTCAACTCAATGAAAACACAATCAAAATTCTAAAACCTGAATAAGTGAATTGCGCTAAAAAAAACTAAACTGCCTGCAAAATATTTACCCTTCATCGACACAAAAAAATCTTCATTACAAATATGAAAATGAGAAATAGAACTAAACAAACCATACCACATTAGTTTGGATGAAAAATCAAATATACATATATATCAGCTCCTTGGCTTTGGCTGCAGCTGCATAACACAACAGAAACAATTGACATCATAAATTGGCTCCCAGCTCTCACCACCAACAAATCCTCACAGTTCCAAATCTGTTGCTGTTTCCATCGTCATACAATGCATGATTTTACTTCGAATGCTTTGTCGAAAGGGGATATCGGAAAGCATCAGAAAGATTGGATTTCATATAATCTGCAACCTTCTTTAGTTCCACATTAGGGTTTGTGGATTTTGAAGCCGAAAACTCGGGGAGTGTACCGTTGGGAGGCCTTCTGAGGCTTCAGGTGAGGGTATGTCATCAAAAACAGATGGGGAAATGTCGTGCCGAAATAAGCACCATCGATGTCTGAATGGTCAAAGAAATGCAACCAGAAATATAAAGGGGGGAGATTTACATACAAATCACAAAATTCTCATGTATTTACATGTCTAACACCTAAAATTTGATATTTACACTTATTAACATTTTGGTGTCATAATCCTATACATGAAAATATCTATTTTACTTTTCAAAATTTACTAATGGTGAAATATTTCTTTTTTTTTTTTTTTTTTTTTTTTTTGAGGTTAAGGTTTTGAGTGTTCTAAATGTAAAAATAAAAAATTAAGTTTTAGATAAGTAAATAATTGTGCGGTATGTATGTAAATGTCCCCAAAATAAATAGGTTCCAGGTATAAGCATACAAGAACTAAAATATGATGCAGAAATATGTTTTAATTCATAAACGACAAGTTAAGAAGATTTGTTATATTTCAGGAAATAGATTTAAGCTAGGGAAAAATTTTGACATTCACCAAACAGAAAAAAATAAGAAACATTTACATAAATACCACTCAATTCCTATGTATTTACATATCTAACACCTAAACTTCAATTTTTACATATATGTCACCTTAGCTATATGCATATAAAGCTATATTTTACCTTTTAATTTTTTTTATGGTGGTATTTTTTATGTGATATAAACGATTCGGGTGATTATAAATGTAAAAAAGTGAAAGATAGGTGTTAGATACGTAAATATGTAGGGGACTGTGGTGGTAAATATGTAAATGCCCCAAAAAAGATGTTATCTTCAAACTCAAAAGAAATCAAGGCAAAAAAATTAACCTTCAGGATTTCCCATGATAAACGAAAATTTCAAAACCAACATGGAAAAGCCAAAAATGAAAAATTAAATTAGGTTTATATCCTTTTATTCGTAGAAATAAAGAGTTATGGTATTCTAGAACTAAAGGATACTGCCTTGGTGCCTGGACCTTGGGTAGTAGACATCGTCACACTTGGGGCAGTAGATTTTCACAGCACTGGATCTAGAAATGTCTGACTGACCAACAGGAAGGCAGGGTTGCCCACAGCAGTAAACTCTGGGGCATCTTCCAAAGTCATAGTTCTTGTATTTATCAAGCTGTAACAATAGTTTTTCCACATAAATGTTTAGGAAGATTTACATTTTACATATGTGCCTCCTACCTATGCTGAAAAGGTGTATTTTACTTTTTTAAAAGTTAAAATAGTGGTATTTTTTATGTGATTTGAAAGATTTGGGTGTGGTATAAATGTAAAAAGCAGTTTATGTATATGTAAATGCCCCAAATGTTAAAGAAGAAATCTGCTGCAAGGACAACTATATCCACCACAGAAATAAAGGAGATCTCACCATTGCAGCCATCCCCTTACTGGTCAGCACGAAGCGAGCGTGGATTAGACCATACAGCATCTCTGCTGCAGATTCAACCAACTCATTCTGCTCCTCCGTAAACATATCTCCTGGGAATTTGCATTTACAAGAGACAAAAAATTTTATCAGTTAACATTCCATGATAAAACCATCAAATTGCTTCAAAACTAAGCTTGATATTCATTTGAGTGAACGGAAACCAAACCATAAATGTGACCTTTTGCCTATAAATGAATCAAGAGTTTACAATGTTTTGCTTGTTTATCTTAGCAAGTCCAAAACTCAACAAAACAATTTTGAGTTGCTGATGGTAATGAAATAACTGAAGCTATAATTTATACTACTAATGCTATTAAAAGTGCTCTTTGGTAGTAAAGTGAAGCTCTATGCATCTTTTGGTCCCTCAGCGATTACCCAATCTCACATATCTCTTTAACCATTTAATCTTTTTTTGGGTTTTCATGAAGCTGAAAATTAATGTCACTTAACATATCATTAGATTTTCTTGAAATCATTAACTAAAGTAGTTTTTAATAAGTGTAATTGAGTGACTACTATATGCAAATATATTCAAGGCATGAACACTCCAATTCATTAGAGCACCGATTCACTTTACGCTTTGCAATTTGAAGAAAATAGGAACCCATACGCATTTTGCATTACAATAGCGCTTAAAAAATATTATTTTCATTCTAGCAAATGAATTACAAAACGGTTCCTAGTACCTTAGCTTTGAAAATTTCCTCTACAGGTATTTAAGTTAGTATAACTGACAAACTCCTCATGCCAAACCTCATTATTTAACATAGAAGACAAAAGAGTGGGCATAATACAATATAATGCAAGTAAAAGACAAGTCTAGGAATAAAAATATTAAAAATAAAATGTTGATTGCTCGCACACACACGTGCAAACAACGAGAGAGAGAGAGAGAGAGAGAGAGAGAGAGAGAGAGAGGTGTATTTTACAATACCATAACTCACCAATTGAAATCTTCCATTTAATCATTATTTTTATATCCATAAATGTTCATAACCCTTGGTATTATCTACTATTACACAATTTAGTATTGAGAATTTTTCAAGGCAAATAACAATTTAAGAAAATACAGCATCAAAAAGTCAAATAAAATTCTTAATTTAATAAATAAAAATACGGTTCAGTTTAAAAATATTACACATTTCAAAAAAATATACCAAGAACTTCTACAAGCATTTAATGCAATGTGCACTATTACTAGTGCAAACAAAAGAAAGAACACACCAAATATTAATTAGGAAAAAAAAGAAAAATACAGGTGCATAAAGTTTCCAAGAACAACCACAAAAAAATAAACTTACTATTAACTTTTATATTTCAATAAAACTAAGTTACTAGATTTTTGAGATTCTTAAATAGGACAATATATCTGAAATGAAGTACAAAATATTCTATTTAAGAATGAAAATAGATACATGATGTGGAGTACTTGACACCTTTGAGTCAACTATCATAGATAATTGAGTACCTATATGACAATCATTTAGAAAAATACCAGTGCTTTATATAACATTCCATTTAGAAAAATATTATTTGACATGCAAGAGTAGATTTACGTGTTACAAATCTTAAAGCGACATCGATTTACTTGAAAATCATAATAATGCAAATAAAATGGTTGCTTACCATGAGAAGATTCAACATCCAAAATCAGATCAAGAGCATAATCATAGTAAGGAACTTGGCTGCTCAACCCACATAGATTGAAATCATCTTGTATGTATTCATCATCAACTTCACAAAAGAACTCATTTCCTTTTAGGCTGCAGAACCATGAAATCCATGAAGTTTCATCTACATCAGAACCACTGACATCTGACTCTTCACAAATTGTTTCAGGTTCCTCTGTGGTACAAACAAATTAAACAAACAACATGTAAGATAGGATAAAATGTAAGAGATTTTCAGATTGACATCATTGGCAAAGCAATCAACTGGATCAATTAAAGATAGGCAAACTCAATTCAAATTAAGATTATCACACCTAACCACAGGATTTACGACCACAAGCTAGAAGGGATGCGTCGGACTGAGACAGGCATCAGAATGTAAAGTTAACAAAAGTATAAATTCATTAGAAAAAGAAAACTTTGTGCTAAAAACTAATGGATCTTCCTGTTTATTGGAGCAATCAAATTTGTAAAATCAAGCAAAATTAGCCTTAAGAAATCTACGTCAGAATCTATCAACAATATTAGCAACAACAAGCCTTTATCCCATTAAGTGGGGTCGGCTACATGAATCCTTACTCTCCATAGCGTCCTACTGTGTGTCATATTTCATTTAATTTAAAGCAACAGAATCTATCAGCTGATCCAAAATACATTAAGCAATGTTTAAATTTCCACTGAAAGTTCATATTTCATTCCAATCTCTTCTAACATTATTGTGTTAGTTTTGCTACTAATCTGTTTCCATCTGCTGCTCTGTGATTTAGATGAAAAACAAAGCTTTCTCTAAAATTCTAATATTTTGGGAGAACATATCGCATTAAGAAAAATTACCAAAAAAAAAAGATATTAAAAAGCATCAGCAAATGTGTGCAAGGGCAAGTGAATCAGAAGTTCATAGTTTGTCGGAATGATTATTGTAGAAATAATCAAGAGACTAAAGTTTCACAATTTCAGATGTGGTGAATGCAAACTGCAATTAAAAAAAGGGACATTTACGTATGTAGCACAGAATTCTTATATATTTACATATCTCACACCTAAACTTCAATTTTTAGATCCGTAACAGTTTGGTGCTTTAAACCTATGCATAAAAATGTGTATCTCACTTTTAAAAAGTGGTAATAGTACTATTTTTTATGTGATTTGAGCGGTGAGTGTGCAAATATGAAAGTTTAGGTGTGAGATATGTAAATACATAAGAATTTTGTGCTACACGTGTTAATTTCCTTTAAAGGATTGTGGTGAGGCCGAAATGGAATGATTATAGAAGTTAGAATTATGTATTTTCTACCACATCTGAATAGGTGGGATCATTTTGACAACGCAAAACCTATTTATAGAAATGGCTTCAGCCTTCAATAGACCAAGGAGTTGCTTGATAATGCAAAACCTATTTATAGCAAAGGCTTCAGCGGACCTTTTAATTGCTCGATAATGCAAAAACTATTCACAGAAACACCCTCAGTAGACCTCTCATTTTGGTGCGACATCTAAAATGAAAGAACATCGAGACATGCACAATTTCATAACAATAATAATAATGTCAGAACTAGAGCACCTAGAAAAAAAAAATAGAAGTTTTAAATTCAGGGTCCGCAAGTAAAATGAAATATTAATCACATCAAACCTCAATCGCCCAAAAGATGGCCTCACACAAGCTCAGAAAAGAGGCAGAGACAGAGACAGAAACAGAGAGAAAGACTGCCAAGATACCCAACTACAATCCCCTTGACTTGGTCATGCACCTAAAAAACATATAGATTTAGAATGAACTATCTTTGTTCAACCAGTTCCCAAGACACGAATCCCAAACTCTGCCAATTACCAATTACCAATTACCGGAAGGATTTCTAAAAAAATCCCGTTGGTGAGCACCAGCAAGCCTTAAAGTACTAACGCCAAAAATGGCAAGCTGCTAATCTTAAGAAACCCAATAAAATCTTTCAGAAGGTCCCAAAACGCTAGCTCCTTGACAAGAAAAGCCTAAACTTCTTTAAATAACCCAATCATATCTTGGCCAAGGCAAAACTACCAAAAAATCCACACCTAATTATCCAAACCCTTGTTATATAAATCCAAAATTAGCTCAAAGAAACTTACAATTGGCCAACCCACGTACTATAATCAGCAGTCACAAGAAAAGAAAACAAAGAAAGCTAACCATCGGAGCACTTGTTCTTGGAGACTGCAGTGGAAAAGTGATCGGACTGCTTCCCAGTGGAGGCGGAAGCCATCAAATACTCCTTCGTCTTCCCATTGACTACCCGGGGGATTACTGTTGAGGACTTATCAGGTTGCTTGTGGAGCACATCGTTGATCCGTTTCCGATCGTGGGATCCGATCTCAGCCTTGGATCCGCTCACCCCTCCAACTCTGCGATCCCTTTGCATCTCCCTCTCTCCCCTCACGAACCTCTCGTAGTTTCGTTATCAACTGACGCAAGCCTGCATGCCGAGATGGGCAGACCTTGAAGCCGAACCCTACGTGAAAGAGAAACCTTATTTTCTCCTTCGTGTAGATCTAGGGTTTGCATACAGGCATTTTCTTGATCTATTGAATCGTTCTCGGGGGGAAGAAAGGGGGCTGCAAGGCAGAATACAGAAAAGGGGCAGCTACATACACAGCACTCACAAGTGGAAAAATTATTAACGGATCGGTTCGATAAGACGGACCTAATGATCTCAATATTGATCAAATCTGAACTAAATTAAGCCTTGATCAAACAATTACACTGCTTTTGAAAACTTTCTAGATTTATTTGTAATATTAAAGAGATATTGAATCCAACAAGTTCATGGTCAAAACGAGCATCTTAATAAGAAGAATCCAACGAGCCCAAAATAGTTCCATTCTGATATCGTTAAGACACTCAAATTTCTATTAAACGTCGTCAGATCAACGGAAGGAACTATATAAATAGAGCATCACTCATCTTATAAGGATAAATGGGAGTTTGAGACTTGAGAAAGAATTTGAAGCTTTGAAAAGGAGCTGACGTCAAGCATCACTCCTGCCATCATCGACCACTGCCAAGTGTCATTTATCACTACTGATTGTTGTGAACCGCCGACCAATGTCAATCGCCACAAGTCGGTCGTCTTTGAGTGATATTGGTTGTCGCTTGTTCCTTGCAAAAAGTTCATATGCATATCACCGTTGTAACTTGGGAGAACTTCTAACCCCATCCCGCCTATAGGATAAGTGGTTGCAACTATAATTACCAAATTCATAGTGGATTTCTGTAATTTAGTCAAACCCCGTAGTTTTTCACTTTACGGGTTTTCCACGTAACAACTTTTGGTGTGTTACTGCTTGTGTTCTCTTTTTTGAGTGTGTGTTGAATTCTCGTGCAACATTAAGACGATAATCCACTACTTTACCGTCATGAATGTTCTAACATGCTTCCATTTGGCACCATCTATAGAAAAAGAGCATTCTCACCACTTAAGTACTTGTAAGACTTGTTGTATTGCCACCAAGTGCAACAGTCACAACAATGGAGCATCTCGTTTCAACATCCATCATTCCGGAGGACAATCACGAAGTCAAGGGCATTGGGCCTCTGCATCCTCCCACTTTAAAAGTTGTTGCCTGGTAGTGAAGATGCCTTGGGTCCTTCTTTAGAAGATCGAGTACGCACAATAGAGGAGTCCCAACACAAGATCCTCAGCTCCTACGACAGTCCATGCTCATGCAATTAGATGGAGTATACTTACCACAAGTTCAACATTCAACAGAAAATACTCCACTTATTGGGTTCTCTCTTAGTGATGAAACCATTCCTCTGCTAAGACGGGACATCAATCTAATCTCACAGCGAAAAAAGTTCTGGCCACAGGGGTATCATGAGCCGCGATCAGAGAAAGAATATACACCTCTCAACATGTAAAGTGTCAACATCCTAGTGGTCATCAAGGATGAAGAGATTATCAGCGGCCAAAGCCATTAAAAAATCAAGATGGTAGAGACTAATTAGTATTGTTATTTCCACCAAGTAAAAGAGCATTCAAAAGAAATATATTTTTAATTAAAGAAAAAAAATTGAATGTCTGATACGCCAAGGTCATCTGTGTCGCTGCCTAAAAGAACGAGGTGATGAGAAGCAAAAAAAATTATTGGGGTTATCAAATGAGAAGTACAAATTATCTTATTTGAGTAAAAGACTGACGTATAAACTCTTAAGTTTATTCTAGCAAGATTTTTCATGTTACTTTAAAAAATTGTCATTCAGTGAAATTTTCTTAATTTCTTACGAAAGATTTTTTTTGCTGAAAGTCCCTTTGAGGGCAAGAGACAAACAAGTTCTCTATCATTACCCTTAAAAGTAGAGTCCAAGAGGTAAGACTCGAAAGAAAGATATGTACTCCTACAATTCAAGCCCAAAAGGGAAGACTCGATGGGAAATTATCATGCCCCTGGAGTTCAAGCCCAAGTGGCAAGACTCGATGGGAAGATCTGATGCCCCTAGAAGTTGAGTCCAAAAGGCAAGACTTGATAGGAATATCTGGTACTTCTAGAAGTCAAGCCCAAGAGGCAAGACTCAATGAGAAGCTACCATACTCCTGTAAGGCAAGCCCAAGTGACAATACTCAATGGGAAGATTTGGAGCCCCTGGAAGTCGAGCATATGAGACAAGACTCGATGGGTAGTTACCATGCCCCTAGAAGACAAGCCCAAAAGACGGGTTTCGATGGGAAGCTAGTAGTAGACATGATCCTCACTAAAATGACACCACAAGAGCAAGTGATTGACAGGGTCTCCACTCAAAGACCTCAGAAGGCTACAAGCCTCAAAAGGCACATATACAAAGAAGAAAGAAGAAGTTTTCAAACCTCAAAAGGCACATGTACATCAAAGACCTCAGAAGGCTATGAGTCTTAAGAAGCACAGGTACAACAAAGGCCTCAAAAGGATACAATCCTCAAGAGGCACAATTACATCAAAGATCTCATAATACTACGAGCCTCACAAAGCATAAGTGTGTTTCAAGCTCCTACAAGGCACAAGTCTAAGAAGACACAAGCCTCAAAGATATGTGATTCTATTTTATATAAGTGCACGTGATAATTTTAATTGTTGACTTTCGCACGATTGAGAGGCCATAAAACTTCAAAAGCAATGTCAAATATCTACAAAGAGACACAACAACATCATGTGCAGATGCCACATCAGACAATTAAAAGGTTGCAACAAATCAACTCAACTTCGAGTGGAGTTGGCATTGCCTTCCCAAAATTCAAGTATTTATCTTGCTCTTTAGAGAGTCTCTATATAGCATTAAAATCTCCTCTTCAAGTGCAACGAGAAAACTCCAACTTTTCTTCATCTCCATCAGATTCACTTCAGCGTTACTAGGTAATGTCCCTTGGGGTATACTACTCAAGAAATTTATTATCTGCCCCAAATTGATTTTCAATTTTCTTTAGGCCACGACTTGAATTTATAATTGATTTTTCATTTGTAACGTAACTTCTTACAAGATAAATACTCCATAGATTATGAATTAGAAGTGAGTTTAAATGAATAAGTTGGTATTGGGTTGAGATTATTTCCTCGATTAATTACCTAAAAAATTTGGTTGGCTATCATTTTATGATTAATTTCCTACATTTTGATTGTTATTCAAACTAAATATTGGGTGATTCCTCCGTCTTGGGTTCTATGTATTTGAATAGGAGTTATTGGGTTTATTATTTATAGTATTCAAGGACTACACAAACACACTACTAAGATCTACTAATTATTCATAAGCATTCTCTTCGATTACTAGCGATCCTGATGCAAAATTTAAACTTATATTATCAAAATTTTTGATATTTTTGTTGCGTGAAGAGTCAAAATTGATAGAACATACTAATCAAGAATGATGCTTACTCTTCTTAGGATCACTCTCTCAGATCATTTAAAATTATTGGTAGACATCTCTTCAATCAATACATAGGCCTGACCCCCCTGCTATAGCATTTAAAATTGACCTCAAAGATCCCACCAACCCGTTATAAGTGATTAACCAATCTGGTGAAATATGGTGTGGGTATTTTTTACGTAAATCCTTGTACCTCTCTTAGGATTCATAAATGGGAAAAAAAAGGTTACGTCATTTCTAAATTTGGTCATTTTGGAAGGAGGGAAGTGTTTAGCTATGAATTTTGTATGAAGTTAGTCCAAGTGGTGATAGTTTCTTGTGCTGAAGAATTTAACCACATTTTAGACTTATCACTCAGGGAAAAATGAAACAAATTAAGTCTAATTGCATCATTTAATACACCATTCTATTTAAAAGCCGCACATAACTCTTAAAAGCTAACTAAGTGTCAATTTGGATTTTCAGTAGCTGAACCTCCAAATTGATTGGTCTTGATCGTTTCAATTATGGTAGGTTTAAGTTCAAATATAATGACTTTTATGGCAAGGTTATTAATAATCTTGTGAATTTCTTCCACCAAAAGGTTAGCAAAATCTCTAAGTGGTAAAGTATTATTTTTTCTCGATGATTTGTCATTTCTCCTGAAATCTTTTAATTTTTGTGATTTCTCTTAATTCTTAATATTTTTTTTATATTTCAAGATCAAAAATATTAGTTTTACAGATTTAGTACAACACATGCAACTTATGACTAACTAGCGAGCCTAAAATAATAGTTCACGATAAAATCATAATAATTCAACAAAAAAAAACACAATAAAATATGTATAGTGAAGAAAGTAACTAAACCACAACTTCACAATTTTTTTGTACTTTTAAAATTTTTAATAACAAAGAAGATAACAAAAACAAATAACAAAACACAATAGCACTACAAATTTCAAACCTGAACTTCAAATTTTTAGTTAAAATTCACTTAAATTAAATAATTAATGTCATTCTCTAATAATGATGTCAAAAACTTAATCCACTATATAATGATGCAAGGTGTGAATCACACAAGTATGCATGCCGATTAAATAGTATACAAATTAAGAGTCTATATATATATCCCAAGGATAATGAATTAGTTTTCAAAAATGTGATCTTCTAGTTTACTAATCTTATGTTTATTTTGAAGTGTCAAAAGCTTTTGAACTTGTAAAAGTATAAAATTTCAAATATTTAAAATAAAAACCTAAATTAAAATTTAGAGTTTTCTATTATGTGTGAGATTCTCCGTTGAATTGGTTCTATGAAATCCAAATTTCTCCAAAAGAAATTTCTACTATAGTTACCAAATGAGGCCTATTATCTTTTATGTTTATCCAATATATAACAAGCATTAAAATCTCATATTATAGTTAAGTTTTCCTTTCCCCTAAGAATTCCTAGGCATCCAAATTCTCTACTAAATTTGTAAAAAATATCCTGACAAAAGTCCTATTCCACTAATCTCCTTTATTTTAACCTGATTATGGTTCTAATCTTCTTATGATAGCTTTAGATAACAATTAATTTTAACAATTTAAATGACCAGTTTGAATGTAAATTGTGGTCATAAAGTTAAAGCAATAACTTCATAAATTAAAACATGAATTCTTCTTAAGCTCAATGTATTCCAATTCAACGGAGAGATGAAATTCACGTACTACCCATGATGTTAAATTAAAACATCACTTGCATTCACAAAATCAAAATAAAAGTGCAAGTTTAAGCAGGATAGAACCCAACAAAATTATAATCCTTATTCCCAAGAGATGTACGCTGCTCGTAGTTCTCTTCTCACTTGATTATAGTACTCCTTTTTCTCACAATCACACATTGAAATCACTCTACTCTCTCAAAAAAAAAAATAATACTCACACTCACTCTCACACCAAGTCAAAATAGCTTCTTGTCTAATGTTTGATGCTCCTAATTGAGAGAGTTCCCAAATTTAAGCATTCCCTCACCTCAACCATCTCCAAACTACACAAAACTGTCTAAAGGTGGTGTTGGGTGAGTAGACAATAGAGGTTGGTGCTAAGTTTCTAAAATGGAGCACCTAGGCACATGATATGGGCGTTGGTTTTACACCTCCTCTATCTTTTGCATGATGAAAGTAGTGATGTATATGGCACTTAAGCCCTTGGACTAGTCATTGAGTTTCTACATGCTTTATTTTTTGGTCGATTGATAGCTGGTTCAGGCGCCTAGGTGTCAGGCATGGGCACGCGAGAGCTTAGCATGTACTTAGCATGCATTTGGCTTCTTATACTTTGTCTGGCTGACTTTCAACCTGTAACCTGCATATTCAATCAAATATACCTAGAATAAGCATTAAAATGATACATATAACCAAAAAATACATGAAATATCACATCACATTTTCTACACATCAGCATATTAAAGGAAAGTTCAAATCTAGAAGGTACTTTCACTCAATACATGATAAAACTTGTCCAAAGATGAAAAAAAAAAATCATTTTTTGTCTTTTTTACTCCAATTATTTATTTATTTATTTTTAATTGGGAAAATAATTGTTGTAATCAACAAGAAAAAATATAATAAAACATCAAAGTTATAATCTCGTATATATACAACTTAATAACGTTAACTTAACCTTATTAAAATTATGCATTGTCAATGTCATAACATATAACATAAATTAAATAAAAATAAATAAAAGAATAAACTTATAACTTAAAATAATATTCTTTAACGACTATAAATCATATATTGTACTCATGATTTTGTTCTCACCTTTCAATTATAAATAGATGAGAAAATGGGTTAGAAAATTCCGAATTCGCATATTTTCTCCATCAACTTTCATGCAACTCCTCCGGCCCAAACTACTTTATTCTCTTCACATTTTTTTGGGCTTGTTTGCATTAAATTTATTTCTTATGTTATATTTCGAATTTACTTTTATAAATCTAATAAAATCAACATCGAATTTTTTTGTCGATACATCTTCTATCAACATGAGCTATGTATTTTGTCGCTCGGCCTATGCAGTATTTTATATGGAGTAAATATAATGGGCAAACATTAACAAGTTAAATTAGGAATAAAAAGATTTAGTCGACAATGTTTACATTATCAAAGAGAATAGTTTCTATATAAAACTCATTAAATGCTACAATTTATGAAATATTATTTGCAGTATTTGACCATATCTAATATGTTTTATTTGAAGGAAAATTTTCGAAATAACATATCTATGACTGCACGCTCTAAAATATTTCTTGTCTGAATTTAAGAGTACTTTTGCCATGCAAAGCATCTTGAATTTAGGGCATTTTGATACATAACACAAAATTCTTATATATTTACATATCTCACAGCTAAACTTTTATATTTACACACATAGCACTCAAATATTTATTATTACATCAAAATGTGGCACCATTATAGCCTTTTCAAAGCTAAATATATGTTTTGAAGCGTAAGTTTAAAACATCAAAATGTCATGTTTGTAAATATGAAAGTCAAGGAGTGTGATATGTAAATACATAGGAATTGTGTGGTAGGTATGTAAATTTCCAACAGAATTATTATGGTTTTGGTATTTTAATTAATAGAGTTTATTTTAATCATAAATATTTTGGTTTAAATCATGTTAAAATCTTGAAACGTTTTCTTTTTCATTATAACAAGTTCAGCCAATGGTATGCGCATTCCATTTTAAAATTGGAAACTTCAACTTTTAAAATTTACAGATGTAAGAAAAGTTGTATTTCTTTTTTTTTAAAATAGAAAGTGATATTTTTTATATGATATGATAGATTTTGAATGATATAAATATAAAAAGTTTAGTGGTTTGATATGAAAATTCATATTACTTGAGTGGTATGTAGGAAAATGCCTATATATATATCTATATATATATATATAGTTGGATTTGTATTATTGAGATGCTCGATTCAACTATGAACTTGTTGGCCTGATCAGGGCTTGATTTGGCTCAGATTGGACAAATTTTGGTACAATTGGGTTCCTCTCATCGAGCCGGTCAGTTTGACTGTAAGTTTGTTGAAATTGACGCTCTCAATGACTTTTAATCAAAGTTTGAACTTTTCTTGCTAAAAAATGTGCATCGAGATCTGTGTTACACCGTGAAATTTGTGTCAGATATTAAAATTTTGTTGATGACGTATCATATATATATATATATATATATATTAATGATAATAAAAGTAAACAACATTCTTAAATAATAAATAGATCACCCGATGCTTACAATTTGTCACGTTTATCCCAATTTTTTTCAATTATGTCATAAAATTTCAAGAAGTTCAATTTATAGGCATTCATGCACAACCACAATAATAAGAAGTGAACCCAAAAAAAGAAATTTCTAATGAAAGGCATTTTCAAAACAAAATTGAGGCGGCAAAATTCAACTACTCATAAACACTTGGTTCAACCCCCCTAATGTAACAGATCTTGGGCGATTAAGTTTGATGCTTACATTAGCAATATCTCTACTGATCTTAAGTGACTAAAGTTTCAATGTATTTGGTAGTACATAACTTTATTCAAGGGAGTTTGAAGAAGACAACTCATTCAAAAAAAAAATAAATAAATAAAAGTACACAACATTATTAAATAATAAAAAAAATCACCATGTGCTTACAATTCGTCACATTTATCCCAATTTTCTTCACTTATGTCATAAAATTCCAAAAAAGTTCAATTTATAGACATGCACAACAACAATGACAAAAGGTGAAAAAGCAAAATTCAACCCCATGCCCCAATGTAACAGAACTCAGGTGATTTAAGTTTGATGCTTAACATTAGCAATATCTCGAAGAGTCTGAAGTGTCACTATAGTTTCAACATATTTGATATTATCTAGCTCTGTACTTGGCAGTTTGAAGCGACAATCCTCGTATGCACCTTCTTTAAACCAATACCAACTTAGACGACGTCCACGGACCGTTCTCATCAGCAGCCTGTCAAGCTTCTCATCATAGTGAAGCGGAATTAACATCTCTTTAGGATATTTTGGGTGATTATTCAGCTCCCACTTTTTCTCCCACACATTATTTTTCAATATCCACAACTCATAGCTAGACTCTACAGCTCTAGAGCATAAGCAGAGATATCCCATAAATTCCACTGCCTGAGGCAAGCTGACTCCTGGAAGGTTAATCTCAGACCAACTTTCATTCTCCAAATCAAATTGAAAAAGACTTGTGCAGCAAAGACTAAGCAAGTAGACAACACTTTCGGCGCTGGCAACAATTGGACATTTAAAATCAGACAAGGGTGGGCGACCAACTTTTCTCCAGCCACCGCTGAGGTCTTCAGGCAGCGTGAGGACATCACAATCAGTGATGCCAGGGAAGTCTCGACTGTTGCTGGGGCTTGTAAAGAAGCATAATACCTTTATCCGATTTGTGGAATTTACAAATCCGAGATAGAATTTCGGATACCAATAGGAGTTATTATTAACGGGCGGTAAATGAACAACTATAGCGCGGGTGGTGGGGTTATAAATACATGCATTATTCATGCTATATATGCAGATCAGACCGAAGCAGGATGATTCAGATACCATCCATGACAACGTGTATTCGTTAGGAAGAATTAAATCCCACTTGTGGCGGTTGGAAGGATGGGCCAAGTCAATTGTGGAGAAAGAGTATTTATAAGTGCCGGTGGGAATTTGATTTATACGCCAACCTATTTGATGATGCAGTTTATGTAGTGCTTGAATTCTATAGTAAAAGAGGCAGAATTTTGGGCTAGAGATGAGATTGTTAAATAGCGTAGACACACAACGAAGTCGGGCTAGAGTTTTTGGCTCCATTGATGCTAGAATTTTTTGGATGATCACTTCTTTAGGAATATCAAAAATGGTATTACTGATTTTTGAAGATGAACTTGACAGAGAGGTGGTCTGTACTGTCTCATTGTGTTGTGTCCTTAGCGCCATTGGTGAGAAATTCATGTGGTTGTGTTTTGGTAGCCAATATGTAGAAGAATATTTATAGGAGTTTTGTTTGGAGCTTGACAATAAAAAAGAAAGGGGGGTGCTTCCATTTATTTTGGTACTTTGAATTTAGGCTACAAACGACTTGTGATTCATTAGTCATCATGCCAAAAAAGATAGAAAATAATATAGTGGTTAATATTGTATGTGTTATTTTAGAAATTTTAAACTTCCTATTTATTTTTAGATTAAAAACATTTTTTTTGAATGAAATCAAATTAAATTTTAGAAATTTTAGCTTTTAATGAGTAATAAATAAAAATTATTCTCTGAATAAATGTTTTTTATGAAACTTTTTTTAACTCAAAAGATTGTTTATTCCTAATTTAATTTGATGAAGTTTGCCAATTGTACTTATTCCATGTAGAAAAATGTATGTGTCGGAATGACAATTTAATATGTTAGATTTATATGAAAATCTATAACTCGTGCAAATAAAAGATTAATTTTCTCAGTGATGTAATATAAGGGTATGTATTATTTGATCAAAATCAAAAAATTGAATTCAATAGCACATCAAGTTCAAAAATGCATTTAAATTTTTTTATTTTTAAATCTTTAATATAATTTTTTTATCATTAGTTCAATTTAAATTTTCATTTAACCTAACAAATTGAAAAATCTAAAAGCCAAAATTAAATAGAGGATTCATGAAATTAAATCATAATTATATAAGTAATATATAAAATTCTAGAGGATTGCTCATAACCAAACTCAAATTAACAATGAAATTTATTTTTCTTCTTGACTAAGGGTCTGTTTAGGCAGCTGTTGATAATTTGTTATCTGCTGATAAACACATTATTCTGATAATCTGCATATTATTAAAATAAGCTGGCTTGCTGTTTGAGACATCTTATTCAGAACAACTTACTAGGAGCTGTTGTTGGATAAATGATCATTTTGCCCATGTTTGGTTAAGCTGTTTCCAACAGAACTGTATATGAAAAATAATAGATAAAACAAATGTCTCAACTATTACAATTCAGTTACAAAAATACATTGTCCATCATTTCATGAGTATCAAAAGAAATAAAATAATAAGAAATATAATTATAATTAAAAGTAAACAAATTAAAAAGTTCAATTTAAAATCCTGACGTCGTCTGTCCTCAGTGACACTGTCTACTTGAGAAATCATCGTGCCACGATCACTGTCGGCATGGGAGTATATTGGAATGTCGATCAAATGGAAGAAATAATATCTTGCTGAAACACCCATCTGACAACCGTAAAACTATATTCCACTGCTATGGGCTGGCGTGACGTGAGTAAGGGAGCCGGTAGTCCGCAGTAACACAACACAACTTGGGAGGTACCTGAAATCCTAAAGCTCAAGCTGCTACTGAAATAAAACAACCAAAAAAGATAATTTGTAAGATCATAAAATCAAATTAAGCTTTATATATGAGAACCGAAAAAAGAAGTTAGTGTGCGGTCTCAGACTACTAACTACTCCAACCTACGTGTCTGTCAGTGAATGAAGACAGTGAACCTTCAAAAAAATGAGTTCTTGGTTGCCTTCAAGCCACGGGGGAGATTATCCTGTGTCAGATGTGTATATCACAAAAAAAAACCATCTAGATAAATCCTCATAAGTCGATGCACCAAAAACAATGAAGGATATCGGTTGCCTTCTTTAGGAATACACATGCAACACTATATAAGAACACCAAATCGATCATTCAAAAGAACTCATAAGGTCGTATTTTTCATCATTCATCACTGAACTCGCACACCCACAAAAAAAAAAAGAAAACGAAAACTAAGCAAAACATAAATAAAACAAAATAAATAATTTAAAACAAAATGCAAATTCATACTACAATGAATTATATCCCAAATGAAAGATACAAAATTCTTAATAAAACCATAAAATACAAATCCATACTACAACAAATTACATCCCAAATGAACATATAATAAATAAAAAAGCGTGACTGAATCAACATCCAGACATAGCATCTACGATAGACTCCCTCAAAGCAGTCATCTTGGCTAAGTCATCACCGTCCTGAGTTTCAAATTCAATCTACTTGATCTGATCCTCAGGTAATCATTGACCAACGAGAGACTCTGAAGGTTCTGGAGAGTCAATAAGCAGATCGTCATCAGCCAAAGTGAAGTTCATATCTGATCGAGAGGAATGTCGCTGGATAAAGTTGTGAAGTGTCATAGTTGCCACCACAATATACACCTGTTTGGGAAATAGATATGACAACATATCATGTAGGATAACCCATTTCTTCTTCCATACCCCAAACGTTCTTTCAATTACCTCGCATAAAGAGGAGTGTCGTTTGTTAAACATTTCTTTTCTGCCACGGAATGTGCCACTTGCTCGCTCAAAATCAGGAATATGATATATGATGTCCGGATAGGGCTTCAGGTAGTCCCTCAGCACCGGATATCTGACATCAACCAAATAATACTTCTCTGTTATGAAAGACAATATTAATGAAAAATAATACATGTAATTTATAGGTTTAAGTGAGATTAACAAACCTTGAGGTGGGTGAGGGAAATACTGTGCTCTATTCCTAGTTGCATAGGAAAAAATACGACTGTCATGTGCACTTCCTTCTCATTCCGCCATTACAAATGTGAAGCACATGTTGAAGTCACACACTACAATGACATTTTTGGTAGTTGTACCCACTCCGACTAATGTACGCCATCTTTTCGTGGCTTGGTAGTCTGGCATCTACATGCGTACCATTAATTGCTCCAATGCAATTTTGTTACTCATAGTTAGCAACTCAACAAGGTCTGAAGCTAAAGTAACAAACTAATAAAACTTACTTTGAAATACGACATGTAACGGGGATCATTTGCAATTTGTTTAGGAATAGTTGCGAACGATTGATCTACTGACTTAATGTTTTGCACTGCTGAGCTCACAAGTGCTTGTATACCTTTGGAGAAGTATCGACTAATTGTTTATGAGGAATGTTTAAATCGCTTCATAACTCCTCTAATTGATTTATTTTGTGAGAGAATGTATAATGTTATAGCCAACACCTCTCTCGTAGTCGTTCTAGAAGAACCTTGAAGACCGTGGTTACTACATAACTCGTGTAGATGATCCATAAAAATGGGCGCAGTCATCTGTTTGGGGAAGAACCTTATCAGATGTCCAACAAGCATCTCACCCACCCATTTGTCCCCAACATATGAAAACGTCATGCGTGGTATCCGTCAAGTGCTGGAGCAGTAGTATTCTAACAATAATATCGCTATAGCTGCAGCTCATGTCATTCTTTTACTGCGCTCTTGTTGTGGATCCATCCTGAAATGAGCAAATAATCAGGATGAAATAATTTATGGAGATGTGGTGATAGGAAAATGAAATAGAGAAAACATAAAAGGGTACAAAGTATCAGAAAATGAATTACATAAATTGTTCAAGAGAGTAAATAAAACTGTTGTGATAACAATACATAAGTGAAAAATCTAGTGACAGCTTAATACAAAACACTCATTCTTCTACCCAAACACGTAAATATTCAAGGCGCAGCTCGGGCCGCAGTGCCATGTACATTTGCCCACGAGTTGGGTCACCAAGTTTTTTAACACATTTTGCCTGAAAGTGTATATTATCAACTACTTCTGGAATAACAACTAAAATAGCAACACAGTCAGAGATAGTGTTGTCAGGGGGAGCAGCAGGAGGTGGAGCTGAAAAATCAGCAATTAGTTGATCAAATGAGCTTTTCACGAAAGTGTCCTTCTCTTTTTTTCTCTTGTCAATCCCGGGCTTCTTGGATATGGAACTAGACTCCTCCATCTCCTTTTGGTTAATACTAAGCCCTTCTTCATCAGCTATAACCTGTTCAAGTGGTAAGTCGTCTGGTATTCCTGCAAATCTCATCTCAGTTGGGTTGAATGCATGTCTTCCAGTTGTGACAACCCCCTTAAATATAATGTCAAGTTTTTATTCGAACCCTGACTCAATTCCGCACTGCCTATATTTTTTGGCGATTGACAAAACATGTATCATTGTATGGAAGGAGAGGGGTTTAGTCAATAACAAAAAAAAAAGAGAATAAATAATGAGAGTGCAGTCATTACCTCCAATTTCTCAACCCACCATTCATCTGGAGCGTCGATTGTTCGCTTAACAGGATCCCAACCCAATCCGGTGGATCCACGTTTCAGCTCCTTCCATATTTTTCACTCCTTCAATTTATCCAATTTATTTTTGAATTTATGCATGCCGTAATCTCTTCCCGTCAATTCTTTGAACTTTTTTCAATATTTTTTCCAACCTTCTTTGTTGAAATACGTGGTTGGTATATTTTCGATTTCTGTAATACAGAGATTACAAAAAATATTTGAAACTTCTTTATCCCACATAGCTGACGGGACACCTTCATTCGTCTTAGCCATGTTGAAACTAGAGGAGTAATTTATGGTTAAACAGAGGAGTTCTCAACATGTAATATCGTGTTAAACATTGTACAATAAAACCAAAGTGGGGCAAAAATGTTCTCATCCACTAGTAATACAATAAACAATAATAAAAACCAATACATTAGAAAACAATCATACTCGAACAATCTTATTGGCAAAACCACAACACCATGTTTTTGTTGTGTAGCCTCCTTACTTAAAGAACCGACTCCACATTATAGCTTGTGGATACATCAATCCAAAAAAAAAAAAATTATCAAATTGAAAATAATAGGATAACACATGTGTTGCCTATAGCATTAACAGAGAGGAAACCGTATGTGCTATTTTGATTTACCCAAGCCTCCATGCGTTATAGATATTACAATCCCCAAAATTCATTTGATAATTGATACAAAAAATTAATAGTAACACTCTAATAAATAGAAATAACAAAAATGTCGTCGCAACCCATTTTAGTGTAACCAAGCCTTAAAATGATATTACAATCCTTAAAATGATATATATAGATGTTACAGTCCCCGAGCCTCTCTTTTATAGCTGTTTTTCAGCCTTAAAATGATAAAGGAACATAGATGAGCTTTTAAATGAGCTCTTTTTATAACTGCAAGGCTTTGACGAGAATTAGAAAAAAAATTCCCAAATTTCAAAAACTTGTGCTATTTTATGTAACAATGCGAAACTAACATTGCCAAATTTCACTGCATTCTGGCAAATGCTTCAAATAAAAAATTTCATCAAAGGCAAGAGGATAATCTGAACTGGGGCCATACATAGAAAAGTTAAGCATTCAACATAAGCCTATATAAAGGATGTCAACCCTCGTTACAATCACTACTGCATCCCATAGAAATTATTGGGTGGCATGTACATATATGCCCCTCAACATTTTTTTTTCTTCCCCCAAGTTCCAAATTAACATTAATCGACCATCCAAAAAAATGACAAACTTCCAATATGTCTAATAAAGATAGGAGCATTAGAGAAGACTTCGAAAACATCAATAATAACATGCCTTTATAGAACAAAATAAAAAATTATAGGCACTCCAATTATCAAATGCTTATGACCCTAAAACAAACGTGTGAATCTTGTTGGTGACTAATCCCTTCCTAACATTCTTCAATGCAAATCAATTGGCACAAACTTTGGGTTTGAATTCCCAAATATATATTTACATAAATATCAACCCCAACAAATTTGCAGCATAAAAAAAAAATAGAGAATAGTAAATTTAGAAAAGAATCATACACATCCTAAAAAACTAATTCGTGCTCAATAAGTAGTAAAGAAACTCTTAGAATAACGATTTTCAGAGCTTCAAATGCTTGTACTATAAGCTCGAGTTCATGAAGAACCCTCCTATATTCCTCACGCATCATTCCATTCTTGGACTATTGAAATAAAAAGAAGAACAAAAAAATCATTGCTCTTCAGTCAATGAGGAAAAATAACTTTGTAACACTAACGAAAAAAACATTGACGGTGAGGGAAAACATACCTTATGAATCAAAAAGAAAAATCGAAAAGAAGAATGTTTGATCTCCTCTAGGGTGACAAATCAGAAAGTAATCCAGGGAGGGAGAGGGCGAGAGAGATCAGGGGTGCCTCCGGAATTGCTAGGGCAAGGCCGGTGGCGAATGCAGGACGCGGGTCTTTACTTGCATCGAAGCCTATTAAAGATTTTCCGGACGCGTACGCAGTGTGGCATGAATAATTTTCGCTAATGTGGGAACGAAACAATGCATCGAAGTTTTAAAAACGCCGCCGCACCCCCAATAAGCTATCCCAAACGGGCCATTGGTTTTCCTCCTTTAGCTAATCAGAATGTGATAATATATTAATTAAAAAATAAAAAAATCAACGAGGGCAGAATATTCTCTCACAAAATTTTGTAATGTTTGCGGTTTAGGGTTTTGCTTGCTGATCTTAGTTTATAGTGGGGGAAGAAGGGATCGCTGTTTAGGAGAAGAATGGAGGATTCGGCTTCTAAGATGGCGAGCTACCCCGCCACCCACCTCGAGCCACTGATGAAAAGCTTCTCCTTCGTCCCTCCAGCATCCGTTCCCGCAATTATCGAATGCGTCCTTGCCTCATCCGTGCTGTCCGTCTCCAATCTATTCTCCTTCCTTCTCAAATCCTTTACAGACTTCGACGAGGTACGAGGAAGGAATGCACATTGTTTTAAATAAATCCCTCGAGTGCTCGGCTGATTATTTGAGCATTGACAGGGTTGTCAATCAAATTTCATACTGTGTTACACCAGTGCGCTTTGCCACCTTATAAAGAAAGATGGTGTGCTCTACCTCAAAGCTTTCTTCTTCGTCAGGCTTCTGTGATCTTTATCTAACTTAGTTAATTTCGATCTCAGGATCTCCACCCGATGCCATGAACCAGTTTATTTCGACGTCCTTCATCCCGCTACTGAAAGTGATTGACCCAAGTAACTCTGAGCTTTTGAACGAGGCATTTCCTGTTCTACAGTTGTTGCACATTTAATTTTTTTACTCCATGTTAATAGCCATTCCAATTTCTTAATCTATCGCACTTGCTTATTGTTAGACGGAGGAATTGGTGTATCATTTGGTCTTTGAAACTGGATCATGGGAGCTTTTGGATAAAACTCTGGTGCCTTTTTGTGTTAGTTCGGTGGGCTTTGGCGTTGGAACAACGTTGAAAGATGATATGGATGCAGATAAGCAGTTTGCTGAAAACTCTTCTGAAACTCTGGGGACTCTACCAGGGATGATTGCATTAGGAGTTCTGAGATCTTTGCTAGATTTTACTCTGAGAAGATGGAATGGGTTTGCATCTTCCGAGCGGAAGATTCTAAATTTTTCGAATTCTTTTGTTGCTTTTATTGTGAATCTTACGGGGCAGCTGTCGAACTTAGCTCTTTGGTTGCTCAATTGGTCTGCAGAGGACCGCTTGCATGCCATTCACTTGATTATTCCTGTTGTCTTAAGGTCCCTTAACATGCTTTCTGCATTCAAAATTTTGGAGCATGAACCCCAGCACTTAATTTCTAGGTGGGAGAAAAAGCTGTTTTTGCTTGCTATTGTTGGGATATAATATTTCAAACATTTTTTTAATTAGAATGTTTGATTCAGCTATTCAATTTAAATTTACAGAGCACATTTTTTGGAGAAGATGTGGCACAGTTGCGCTTCTCTGTTTAAACTTGGGAATTTAGAATGCCGCGATAATGCCGAGATGCATACCGGATGCTTTCATTGTACTTCTTGTCATTCAATGATTCCGGAGGTGATGTAAAGCTTGCGGAGATCAACATTGAGGAAGACCTTGATCTTAGAGGCAATGCAATATTTTGGGAAAAAGTGCAGTCAGGATTGGTATACTGATTTGTGCCTTTGTCTCTTATAAACTTTGTGTAATAAGTCATCTTTTTAATGAAAAACTGTAAACTTTTACTTGTTTTCTGTGTAAATTTGCTCTTTCAGGTTGACAGAGATTCTTCTGTGAGGAAGATGGCTATATATATTTTGAAATCACTGATCAACTATCATTATTCTTCCTTATCAAGCAGAAATAATCAATGCATTTCTAATTCTTTAGAACTGGCTGCTGATGCCCAAAAAGTTGATATTATATTACAGGATCGGAACACATCACATGATGGTTCCACAAAGAGGGAAAAGTGGGCTGAGAAGGAAGCTAAATCTTTGGGTGTTGGAAAAGTCAGCCATTTTGATGGAGTTTGTTTGAATGGCCTCCAAAGATGGAAGGTATTTGTACTGCTTTATGAAATGCTTGAAGAGTATGGCACACATTTGGTCGAGGCTGCCTGGACTCATCAGGTCAGTTTTGATGACAACATCTTTGTTTTTCACATCGAACAAGATCTTTTGTTCTGATTCTACATTGCATGGAGCCTCATCTATTTTTTTTTCAGATTGCATGGGTTATTTGGGATAAGAATCTTATTACCTCTTATGAGTCCGAACTAATATTTTTTTTTTTGGTCAGGTTTCATTATTATTTCGATCATTCCCATCGAAATATGATCAAATTTCTACAACCGCAGATGTTTATTATAGTCAGATGGAAACTCTAGATGGTATGGTAAGCTGGTTAGCTGTTTTATGGGAGCGTGGATTTTTTCATGAAAATCCTCAAGGTCCATAGCTATTTTAATCACGTCAGTGCTTGGTGTGGCTATATCTCTATCATTTAGTCCATGTTTTTAGTTACTGCCTTAAAACTTTATTCAAATGGCTATTTTGCAGTGAGATGCTTAATCATGGAATCATTTCTGGGCATTGATTGGAGTAGGTATGAAAATCTCGCACAAAAAGTGCCTAGAAGTTTCATACTTGGCCCTCTTGTTCGGGGTTTAAATGATGCCGTGCATCACAAAGATTTTGGTGAATACTCTTGATTGTGTAATTATTTTTTGCATTTTTGTAAAAAGTTTTTCTTGATAGTTTTTATGGTATTTTTGTCGAGTGAAGTTTTTAGGACAACAGATACTATCTCTATAAATATGGCTGGTGATGGTTTTTTGTTACCTTCAAACAAATTTTTTTTTTCTATTTCAACACGGTTGCCCAATTCTATAATTTTTTTTTTCTTTCCATACTTTCCAAGTAGTGTACTAATTGTGCTTATAGTTGGAACAGATTAAATATTGAGTTCTGATGTGAGAGTTTTTTGGTTAGGCTTCCTTGTTTTAAGGTGCTATATATTTGAATATATTGATGCACTTCAATATATTTTTATATTCATGTTAAGATTAAGAGAAAGCTTCTTCTGTAAGAACCTCAGAGCCCTTTAAATATTTAGGTATTTTTTCTGCTATATACTTCACTAATTGGGAGAGAGATGGGGGGGGGGGGGGGGGGGGGGGGGGGGGGGGG